GGTAGCTTGGAGCTATCAATGAAATGTTTTCAAGATTTGATTCTAAAAGATCAAAACCATCCTGCGGCCCTAATCAATTATCCATCTCTTCTTTTGTGTAAATATGGTTCAGTTGTTGCAGGTGTTGGGGCAAGTGCTAGTGAAGGAGCTTGTATGCCTCATGTTGCGGCTGCAAATGTTGCAAAAGAGTGTATGTTAGCTGTAGTCAGATCAGATCCTAGGGCTGCACATATCTGGGTGAATCTTGCTAATGCATACTATTTGGCTGGTGATCATAGAAGTGCTGGAAAATGCCTGGAGAAGGCAGCAAAACTGGAGCCTAATTGCATGTCAACTCGATATGCTGTTGCACTTCATCGTATCAAGGATGCAGAAAGGTCTCAAGATCCCACTGAACAACTTTCATGGRCTGCGAATGAAATGGCTTCAATACTYAGAGAAGGGGACTCTGCAACAATTGAGCTTCGGATAGCATGGGCAGGACTTGCCATGGTTCACAAGGCTCAGCATGAAATTGCAGCAACGTTTGAAACTGGACATAATGATTTGACGGAAGTGGAAGAGTGAGCTCTGTGCACACTAAAGCAGGCAATAGAAGAGGATCCAGATGATGCAGTTCAGTGGCACCAGCTTGGCCTTCACAATCTTTGTACTCTATAGTTCAAGACATCTCAGAAGTACCTTAAGGCTGCAGTTGCCTGCGACAAAGAATGCAGCTACGCATGGTCAAATCTTGGTATCTCACTGCAACTGTCTGAGGATGAACCCTCTTCATTGGAACCCGATCCAGGAGGGCAAAATCATTCCACCTATCCGGGATTCTTTTGATTGTGTTTCAAGACACCCATCCTAAATTCGAGCTTGAGGACAAGCTCTTAGTCCAGGAGGGGAGTAGTAGAAAACCTTATGTGCTGATTTCAGCTAAGCTTCTTGTGAAGGAAGAGTAGAAAGTTGGGGATTTTAGCAAGAGACAGAGGAAAGGGGAGAAAAGAGAAGAAGGTCGACTAGGATAGATTAACTTAACCCTAGC